AACAACTTGATGTTATAAATTTGGCATGTCGTATAGTTTATAGCAGTTTACATTAATTACATAACAAAAGTATGGATATCGTAAAATGGATTACTTTTAAAAGATTTCTTTAGTAGTTCCGGACTTTATCGCTTACAAGAATTAAAGTATGAGTGCAATACTTCTAGTTTAAAAAACGTTCATGTAAAGTAGAAGAAAAAAAAATTGTTGTTGATTAGAGATTTACGTTAAAAAAATCCATACCAAACAGTCTTTGTATCTAAACTAATTCATTTAATTAAACGAATATACAGAAGTATACATGGGGGATTTTTATAGACGACGGCCATATTAACAGAGCATATCCAGAATTTGTATCTAAATCTAAATCTGGTAAGTACTTTTTGACCTCATTTTTTTTCAAAGATTATTTTTAAATCTTTCAAACATTATGGACACCCTATTAAAAATTCCCGCCTCACCGTCTCAATACAATAACCTTTTCACGAGCAGTAAAACCGTCCGCTGAACGCATAGTTATTAAACCGCTTATTAATAGGGTGACCACACGTGTTAAAATAAGATTCCTTGAGAATGAACTGCAGCTGAATAGGTTTCGCAAAATCTATTAAGTAAATTAAGCTTAATAAGTCATAATAACTTGGTGGCGCAGATGCTAAGTTAGGCTTATAGGAAACGACTCTATCATTAAAAAGGTCTTCTCTGTTGGGCAGTAGTACCTTGCTGGTCAGCTGCCTATTCGTGCAGCGAGAGCGGTTATGGAGATTAATGTCACTTTTACCACAAAAAATGGGCAATTAAATGAAACTATTTTTAATTCCCGACGTGTCGAACCCCTTCCAGCGTTCATGGTCACGATCGCGTTTTAATTTTACGGGACAGTCTGTCCGGTAAAATTAAAACGCGATAAAATCGTTAAAATAGTTTCATTTAACATGTATCACTTCGCGTAAAAACAAGAAATCAATAGATAGACAATTGCTTGGAAACTTGCAACCTCAGAACGCTTTTATCCATCTGCGAAAGCGCGCGTACATATTAAGCTCCTGTTCATTCAAGTTCTATTTAAGTTCAAACTTCATAAGCGCTTTCGAAAGTAATTAAGGCGCGACGTTGACACAAGCTAAATATTCGCTGTGAAGATTGCATCAAAAGCGTAAAACTATGTACACGGAAAATTAAGTTCATTGGAATAAACACTACAGCCACTTAATACTAAAAAATAATCCTTAACTAATACTTATGGAGTAGCTTTGCTTGCCTTGTAGAACAGAAGTAGAAGTATTTAAACTTTATCTCGCGTCATAAATGAGAAGTAAGATCATTTAAACTTCTGCTCGCCTCGCAGAATTTGACTACGTGAAGAGACGTTTGGTGTAGTGAACAAAAAAAAGGGTGCCCTTAGGCCTATCCTAATAATAACTAAACGTAAGCATTATTTTTCCACAGACTCCAAAAAAGAGAAGATAAGACGTTTACACATTCAACATAATATAACCTCCTTCTTTCATGATTCGTTCTCCGCGTTTTACTATTCGACTCCTTTGATGTGGGCCGAAGAACCTACATGGTATTTGCCTTTAGTTGTATCAAATAGGCAAATAAGCCGATACAATAGCGTACCCATACCATTTCTCAAACAAACAGTGATCGAATAAGACTGGCCATGTGTAATGCCGCCTTAAGCGAGGGGAAAAAATAACATTCTTTAACGGTATATAAATAAGGACGTCCGTAAAATGACAAACTATGGAACTAGTATATAAGAGCATTATTTGCCGAGTGTGCTTTTCGTTTGTTGTTTGCTTTTGTTTATTACGTTCATGGCTCGTACGGCTGTGCCGGAGAGTTTACGACGCGATAAAACGCGACGTGCCATATGATACTTCTATTTAAAATTGCAACGACTAGGTATTCGAGAAAAGAATGTGTTCAAATTAAATAGAGGGGTAATACTCTACCGACCTTTACAACCTACCGTAACCGTCTTCCACAGACTTTTTTATCCAACAGGATTTCTTACTCCTTTATCTACGCCATTAAACTCGGTCGCCAGTTAATTAGCTGCAGGTTCGACCCAAATTATTTTTAAATAGGGTAAACGGCTTTGCGTCCATTTTAAGGACATAGCTCCCATTTAGGGATGGATCTGTGAAAAAATATATCGATATTTTTAAACCGTGTCGATAATTTATTGATTGAAAAACATCGATTTATCATTAAATCATCAATATTTTTCATAATTTTATTGATGTAATATTTCCAAAACATTCAATTTTTGTAAAAAAAAATAATACACAACTTTTTTCACTTTTTAATATAATATACAGTATCTAGTAGAGAGCCAATAAGTTTTGGCATCTTAACGCGCGCCAGAAGCGTTCCATACCATTATCTACAAAAATTGCATAAAAATCATTTCCATTGTATGGGAGTCCCACTTAAATAATTTTTTTTCCTATTTTACTATTTGTTGTTATGGCGGCAATAGAAATACATAATTTGTGAAATGACGGTTCATGAGATATGACGTGACGAACGAACGGACAGACCGGACAGTCTTAGTAATAGGGTCCCGTAAAAAAAAGATAACGGTATCCGTATACAGGCACATTAAAACAAAATTCCAGTACATTCAAATTGACTTTCGAGGAAAGATGGTTAGGGGGTACGGAACCCAAAAAATGGGCAAAACTAAACCAACGGCTTAGAGCACCCGTTATGATCGACAAACTTTCCTTTTCATGTGGACTTATCAAAATTGTGGCTTTCATCATAACTTTAACATTGGGCAAGAGCGGGCAAAGAAATTATGCAGGCTACGCCGTAAATTGTGCCTTGCCGTATACATCGAACATTGCCGTATTAGTAACCGGTACGATCAGATGCCGCGCCCTCTTTCATTGCCTCGTAAAGTGCCCACTAAATTAGTCGTTTCGGCAATAGCGCTAATACGGGCGACATAAAACTGCGAGGAACACGATTCTTTATGGGCCCCTTGTACAATCATATTCCGGTGAGTGTATTACTTCGACCACAGAGAATATAGCCTTCTTTTGTAATTGACGAATTTCGGTTAATCGATATATTTAATCTATATCGCGATTACTTTGTCTTCTAGTTAACCTATGCGACGCACGTACGAACACATTACACATTATCAAATAAAACGTTACTATCAAAAAAACAAACTATATAGCATGGTGGCGCACTTGCTTAGCCATTGGCATCGGCTCCGAGGGTCGTGGGATCGATTCCCACTCGGAACAAGTACTTGTGTGACCCACAGATAATCGTTCCGTTTTGTGTATATATTTGTTCCCGAGGATGGTTGTCGTCAGGCTGGCGCGGCGGCCGGTCATTAAACGTAGCTATGACCATTAACAACACGATTCACATGGTGTACCGGCCCCACCTAGGTGGGTTAAGGGCAGGAGGAAGAAGACGAAGATGTGTAGATGCATTAAACAGTATACACGTTGTTAAAACTTAAAAAAAAATATTCTGGTAGTCTGTTAATCCGCAGTGATATTATATGATTATTTTTTTATGTGAGAAAGTGGCAAACGAGCTGGCGGTTCAAATGATGTAAATGATAACCACCGCTACTTGACATTTGCAACACGCGTAGGGTTGCAGATGCGGTCTCCTCTCATAGCAAAGTTCCGCTTCTGTCTGGTGAATGAGGTAGCCGGGGCCTACTTTATTAAAAGGTAGCAACGCATCTCAAACCCTAGGAGTGTTACAAATGTCTGAATGAGACTCGCGCACAGTCTCTAATGTGACTATTGGACCTAGGGATGCCAACCATATTTTATAATAAAGTAATTAAATATCCTACTTAATTTATGGTAAATATACTTTATACTTTTGAATAAAAATAAATTAATAAATATTAATTCGTTTAAATTATCTATATTCTATATTTACCATCATGCATATAATTTATTAAAAAAGTAAATTTCCCAAAGTAAGATTAGATGAGATTCATCATCATTCATTCAGAAGTTATTTTCTAGATAAAAACTAAATTAATAATAAAATGTAAGAGGCATGCTATTTGGGGTAAAACAGCCGCCCATAAGCATTCCGTTTATTTTTTTAACGCATAGGATTTCTGTTGAAATACTGAAATTCAGGATTAAAAATAAGTTTCAAAAAATTGTATTATTTCTAATAGGGCTAACGATAATGAACAATTAGAGACGTATAAAAAATACGATTTGTATTTGGTGAGAGTGAGTTTGGTGAACAAACGACAAAGATTATTAATTTATTATGACGAACTATAATAAGAAGAACGTACAACATTATGATAATAATATTTAAAAAGGGTAGAAAAATTAAGATATTGTTAATGGGCATAAACACAAACGTCAACCACACGAAAGTTAATATTTCTTATCTAGAATATTAGTTTTATTGTCGAAAAATAACAACAGATGGCATTGCACATTTTTAGTATCATTTAAATAAAACGCCATCTAGATTTAAACCACGAAACAATTATGATAGGTGAAATGTATAACTTTGCCAAACATTTCAAACTTTATTTCCAAAACCCATGTTTTCCTCTGAAGATTTGTTAGAAAACTTACTAAGATGGCGTTGTTACTATGATGCCAACAAAAGAAAATTTTTAATTTTAATAAGCAAAATTTATCAAAATAAGTTATTTTGTCATCAATTTTGTATCAAAATGTTTGTCTTTGCAAAAACAATAACATAAGGGTATCGCATTTCTAATGTGCCGTAATTTTTATGTTTTACTCTAAATCCTTAATACTCTTAAAACATCATTTACCTAATGCTAACAAAAATATTCTCTTTATCAATTTCTTCTATGAGTTTCACCCTAATGTTACTATATGTAATTGTTCATTAGCAAAAATTCGATTTCCCATACTGCTTACCCAAGGAAAAATACTGTTGATAGCAGTTAAGGTAAAAGTTAGGACAAAACAAACCATTAGGTACTACAAAAAGTATTTTATTTACTATATTAACGTGTCTTCTGAACGTATATACTCTCCAATGTCTGCTTGATGAAATGCTATTGTTGCCAGAGGGTCAGCGTGCCTGCATTCAGCAGTTGTCCTCGAAGTCACTCCAAAGCCAATAGGGATGTCCGACATTGTATTTATAACAACACCTTGATGTTTTGGTGTATTTTCTGTGATTCTTCCCAAACCTGGAAGTAGAAGAAAAAAATACATTTATAAAGATGATGCTTTCTCCCCAACCACCGCTTAAATCAATTTATGTTGTCACATTATTAAATCTACAGTAGCATTGTACCTCTCTGTTGAAAAGTTCTTGGATTCATTCAACTGTTATATTAATATGAAAAAAGAGAATCTAAGGCAAATAATGCACAAAACTTTGCAACTACTTTAATACTCTATTGCAGTCAATCACAATTGAGCTAGCAAAGAGATTAGTGATATTTTTAGTATTATAAATTTACATACCACTTTTAATAACATGATGTCCATACAAAAACTGTTGCTCTGCAGATGGTTTCACCCAAATTTTGTATGGTGCGTATGGAGCTATGTAAGTCAATGCTGTAATGTGTAATCTAAATTTATTGGTTTTTGTGAATTTTCCAAAACATGTTCCCGCCGAGACTAGATGTTCTGGTTTCACGGTCTGGGCTAACTGTAATAGACGCTCTGATATGTAATACACTCTATCTTTTTTCTCTCTAAAACAATACGTTCCATCTGGCCTATCTATCAACAATTTCACGTTTACCCCAATGCTGTAAATAAACAAAATACTTTAGACTCAAACTACACAACACTTTAACAGATAGTAAAACTTGGATACTGACTATTTAGTTAATTTTTCAAAAAGAATTCTAGTTCTGTCTTCAGATAGTACTTTCATTTTAATAAAGTGGATATATCTTTATACATAAATAAAAACACGTGCAATCGCAAGTGTTCTCTTTAGATGTCAAATGTCATCAAATGTGTCAATTTGACTGAAATCAAATATCAAGTTCCAAAATTTTAAGTTCAATAATTAATTAAACAAAAATATAATAACTATTTTATATATTGTTTCTTTATATATTGGGAAACGGTAAAAATTTCCTTAAGTTTCCGGGTGTTTTCGACTAAACAAAAAGTTTATTCGGTTAAGAAAAATCACTAATGAAATAATCAACAATCAGAATTTGGCGGTCGCTTATAGTTTTCGAGAAATAAAATATATTTAAAACTTGTTATTTTCACTAAATTAATCCGCCATTTTGTGTTTGGCAACATGTATAAATTTACGAATTCACACACTTTTCCAAATTATAACCTTCGCATTATTAAAAAAGAGTCTTTAAAAATACTAAAAGTACTGTTACACTAAAGTTTTCTGGGTGGTCATAAAAAAAAAAACCTAACATCGAAGGCTAAGGCGAGAGCTTCGCTCCCGCCTTAAACTTCTAACCTAACCTATCCGAGTCGGAACGCTCTGTGTCGGATCTGTCACTCTTTAATCTTCGCCCACTTCCTATATTTTTCATGTTGGCGGTACTGTGTATTCAGTTTTTGAAGTCAAATTGGTAAAAATGGTGAACTGCCGAGGAAATAAATAGCATTCTTGGCACCATGCCGTGTGAACTAGGAACATTAGATAGTATTATATATTATTATTAAAAAAGGACCACGCAACAGTCTTCGCTGTTTCACGAATGGGCAAGTCCGTCCGGAGAACGTGAAGTGGAAATATTACACATCTGCGTATCGTCTGGTGAGTGAGATAGCCAGTGCCCACTTTACTAAAGAAGGCAACACATCTGTCACCCTACGGGTGTTGCAATTGTCCATTGGCGGCGGTTATCACTTATCATCAGGGGAACCGGCAGTTCATGGTAGCACCTTCGCGATAATAAAATGTTATTTACTTTGAATCAATGTTGTAAGTATTGAATATAATAAACAATAATTTTTGAGTATCTAATAATAAAAATTAGGATATCTCCATATTACGTGCATATAAATTGTATTATTTATTTTTGTTTTCATTATGCTTATTCTAACGGTAGTTAAATTTTACATATAATTTCTGAACGGATACTTGTTGCTGAACAATAATTTCAACCAATTGCGCTAACCGATGAATGAAGGAATCTCAGTCTGTCGTTCTACGTTCATTCAACTCGTTAGTCATTCAACTTTAATCAAGTATACTATCGGTAAGTTTTTGTTCCTCTGTTATTCGTATTATTTTATTAATTTTAATACTTCGTATTTTGCTGTCTAATATTACTGTATAGTGTCAATTAAAGAATATGTTCATGATCAATACATTTTATTATGTACCTTTATTATAATATTTAACTAATACAATCTAATTAGTATTTCACATCTGTTTTACTTTGCGACCCTGAAACAACAGTGAGCGTCAACCACGTGACAATAACAAAACAACATTCGCGTGCTAAATTTTTTTGCAGTGTTTTACGTGAAAACTATTTAACCGTATCGGGTCACAAATGAATTGTAATAAAATAATTTTCAACGGAAAATAAGTTATCAAACCGTTATTCCTTTGGATGCAACTAACTAATATTCAGATGTTATTTTATTTTATACCTTTATTTCCTCTTAAATTTATATAACAGTTTCCCTCCTTTCTAATGGAATTTCGATTTCATATCAAACCGTATTTAACGTTTATGAGCGTATGCGCGTTAATTGTAATTATTCGTCAACGCCATCGATTATTCATCAGTTGCGAAGACTTAAGTAATTGCATTTAAACTTCGGCCTGTAATTCCTATCGAATCGTCACAGGATAGTACAAGAATTTATCTTGTTTTTAATAGTAGACTAGAACCGCAAGCCAAGTGTCATGAAGTATTTTTTTTGCGAACAAAATATGAACATAAATATAATTATATAAATATAGAGTGTTGCATAATAAACAACTCGATATTTTCAGATTTAATGGATATTATTGCGCCGATATTACTCACAATTGACGAAAAGACTAATTGAAACAAATAATTTGACGACATTTTCAGAAAAATGATCTCGTTGAACTGAGAAGGTGATTAATGTATATAAATGTTAATTCTATTAATTTAAAAAAAAAACTACTTTCTTTGGTAAATAATCGCGGTATCACTTGATATTTCACTTTTAATATGATAGTCTCGAACAAAAGTAGTTACTCTCAGATTGGGAAATGGGAGCATATCTAGATCGCATTTTTTTTGATCCGTATACGAAATGAAGGCTGTCCACGAAGCGCAGAACCTGCCAGTCGAGATGATCACATAAACACAGCATCATTCATTCATACGCTCAGTACTTATATTCATTCAGTAATTCATACATACTACATTCACGCCTGGTTTCTGAAACACTGATCATGATCATCGTAGAAGCTAACTAATCAGCTGTCAAATGGCTTTTCAAATGTTATTTAAGTTGCCAAAAGGATGATTAAACTCTCTGAATTGACCAGAATGATCTTCTTAAAGATCAGAATGATCATTTCAAAGAGTTCAATCCTTTTGGCAACTCAAGTGACATTTGAAAAGCCATTTGTAAGCTGATTAGTTAACTTCTACGATGATCAGTGTTTCGGAAACCGGGCATCAATGTGGTTAACCCGGCGATCTACCCTTCCGATACGTAGCGCTAGCCTGACTGAGGGTGCGACGGTGTTTCCACACAAAATTGTTTGATCATGACCTAATTCGATAAAGTTTTCCACAGAATACTATTTATTATACTATAGCATAACATTATTTCAACCCAAAGATATGGCGACAGCATAGAGTCCATTATAAGAGGTAATAGATACTTTGTATAAGGCTATTCTTGATTCTTTCTAGAATGTTATATGGAAATAAAAGGTTATATGTAGCAATGAGTAATTTAATCACTATATTGGCTGCACAGTCTACCATTTTACGGCGAGAATGGAGAAATGGTGAATAAAATGGTAAAGTAAAATAAGATTAACGAATTTTTAACACTGAAATCGTGTTCGTCGATTACAGATTCAAATAAATAAAAAGGGAAAATAACATAGAGACTATGTCGGTTATGCTTTAAAAAAATGCAAGCAAAGTTCTTCGAGAAATTGTTTAACTTGCAGCTTGAACCCGGTCATTTTCAATTTTTAATTAAATATTATTTCAGTAGGTAATAGGTATACATAGTATTGTATGCCTAATAACAATGAGCCCTTATAAACAAAAAATATACATGTTCTTATTTATATTTATATTTAAATCCGGCCTAAGATGTAACAAAATAATAATGTTATTAATTTTTAACAATTCTTTCTTCCTTTTGGTTTGATCAACTTTCATAAGCTAATGAACATTCACTAATTAACACACCTTTAACAAAAGTACGGCACTCCCCAAACAGTCACAAAAATAACAGTTTCGTTTAATAAAAGAGCGTCCTGGAGTCATAATGAATTGAATAGTGATGTCACACAACTGAAGGTGTGGTTAGGGTTGTGACGACGAAGACATTGACGTAAACTATTTAACGTTCCATTGGAAATGAAATTCTAACTTTATATTTATATTTTTTTTGTAAATGAAGTAGTTAATTATCCACACCAATATTCTGATGTCTTTCGTTATTTAGAAAATTAATAATGGCCAGCCGTGAGATAAATGCCTAAACGTAATACCAATATCTCAATATCGTTTTCTTAAGTAGCCAAAACTACGGTTCTTATATACGCATACAACAGATTCGTAGACTTAATTAGGAACATGAAATGCTAAATGTTACTTTATGAAAGTTGTTGAATAGTCGGCAAAAAGCATAACTGAAAACCCTACGCGTGTACTTACGTTTTCCACCACTCCCCTTGGGAGCTGAAATTCAAATTACTTGCCATTCCCAAGTCATGTTTGCAAGCAATTTCGATAATTGTTACATTTTATACTTAATAATAACCTCGTTAAATTATTATCATTATAGACTAATACAAATTGCCTGTAAATTTATTTCCTACAAAGCATTACTATTACATATTAAATGCTGAGAGTTTTGCTTGATAACATTTATGTCCCTAGAATGTTTGAAAATGTATAAAGGATTTCAAATAACACAGTACAGGACACAATTACATTAGTAGTTACATTTTATTTCATTAAAAATCGTAAGTATAACCATGTTTAAGAATGCAATATAAATCCCTTAAGAAAATAGGCGTTGAGGGACTACATGGAGAATAAACTTAACTTATAAAATCGTCAATAGATGGCGCTGGACGATTTTGAATCGCGCTATCGATTGACTCGTTCGTGTTCTAGTACTCGGGCGGGGCCTAAAATTGTCGTTGCCAACCTTTAAAAGAGACCCGGTTACCGGTAACGGTAAAATTGATTTTTGCATCGCAATTTAGTTCCTTCGGGACGTGTTGCGTTATAAACTATAAAGTCCTAATATAAATAAAAATCTACTTAATTAATATTAATATAAATAAAAAGTCAGCTCATTACTGTTCCTTAGCAGAATGCACGGACAATTAATAATGAAAAAATCAATTTTTCTTGATTATAAATCAAACAGCATTGTAGTAATTATATTATATTGTCTATTAACGTTCACGGTGATAGGGCCAAGCACTAATGGGCAGGCTCGTCCGGGTAAGTACCACGACCTCGCAGAAAACCGGCGTAAAGTGGAAATATAATACTTTCATGTTTCGTCTGGCGAGTGAGGTGGCTGGAGCCCAATTTTCAAAAGGTTGTCAACGCATGTGGGACCCTCGGGTGTAGTAGATGTCCATGGGCGGCGGCGGTATTCACTAAACATCAGGTGAACCGTCTATCCGCTTGGCGACTTTTCACATAAAAAAAATTATAGTATTGTAAAGTATGGTAGATTTTTTTTTAACGCGTATTAAATAAATTCATATCCAATTCATTCATATAATTGCTGCAGATCTATTCAGTAGTTTTTGCGTGAAAGAGTAACAAACATCCATCCATACATACAAACTTTCACGTTTATAATATTGTAAGTAATAAGTAATATAAGTAACGAATATTATATTACGAAATTCTTTTATTCAGGCGAATATTAAACATTTTAATGAAACTAACTCACGGATTTTGTGGCGGCTTACTTTTGTTATTATATTTAATTTTAATTATTGATGCTTTGGCTGATGCAGTCCCTAAGCGATAGATTCCACACGGTCGGTCGTTGGTTTGATTCCCAACCGGCAGTGCCTATTTGTAAGGTACACATTTGTTCTAGATCTGAATGTTTGTCCGTGTTTAAATTATGTTTGTGATACTATATATAGATATAATATGTGACAAAACATAATTTAACGTAACAAATAACTTTATGTAACAAAATTTCATCCACACCACCTCGATGTCCAACGTTCCACAACAGCGCGATTTTTAAGGCATTTCTTGCCTCGCACAACCACTCTGTGGAACCAACTGCCGCCGGCGGTCTTTCCGAACCGTTACGACCTGGGAACCTTCAAAAAGAGAGCGTACTGTTTCTTAAAAGGCCGGCAACGCATTTGTGAGCCCTCGGGTGTTGCAGGTGTTCATGGGCGGCGCTAATCACTTACCATCAGGTGAGCCTCCTGCTCGTTTGCCCCTTTTCACCATTAAAAAAAAAAACTACTGTGTTTACATACACAAACATAACTTTATTCTATATTAGGAATTATGTTAAAGAAGACGAAAAGATATGAAATAATATTAACTACATGCCCAGTCGAAAATATGTGGATCGTCGCGACAGTTTTTTAATGAAGCGTACATAACAAGACTTGGAAATGGAAAGAAACATAAACCGCTAAAAACATGTATGTCGTTTCGGTGCGTTCCTTAAATGGCAAACAGAATTATAGTTCATACTGCATACAGTTATTCTTCAGCACTGTACTAAATTATTTGTAAATTACATCTACAGCTTCCATTTTATCTCATCACTTTGGTCCTTTCCTGTTTGTAGACTTTTCTTTATTTATTTTAAAAAAAACATTCTCACATACGATACCAAACCCGTGGGTTTTATCTAAACGAGTTCTGCGTTTTATGAAGCTTTAAATAGTCTAGCGGGATAAACGCAAAAGCACCAGTTAAAGTAAAACTCCCTTTAATATTAATAGACGCCTAAAATAGGGCTTCCTGCGCGGCGGGAATTTTCATAACATTAAATCACGGGCACAAAGCATTCGGAACAGTTATATAGAGGCCCCGTAAACCAATGGTGACCCTATCATCGTCTAATCCGACTTCAGGAAGTAGGGTACCTAGTAAGAAAGTCATAGTCAGGAAGGCGATGAAAACAAATAGCAAGAAGTTGTCCAGATCCACTAAACTATCCACTCAAAACTTATTACGGACTGTCTGACAATTAAATAAAAATTAGAGCGAAATGTGAACTTTTGTATATATGAACAAAAACATTCGACGGAATTCGAACTAGTGCACACGGTAGCTTGCTACTAATCGCGAGACACGAGACCCGCAGCGTCAGTCTTTTTTATCAAAAAAAAATCACATTTTAACTTTCGTCTCGAGTGCAGAAGCTAAGGCTTTTAGAAAATGAATTACGCATTTTGTTGTTTATTTTTGGCTTAAACAATTTAAATTTAGTTTAAATAAACCTTTAATGGACTTGACTCAAACAGGCTGAAATGATAATGATGATTAAACATTAACTGTTATCATTTCGCTATAAATTGTTCAAAATTTTGTCAATAAAGTTGACTGAGGTGAAAACATCTCAATCTGTCCCGTATAAACAAGGCCGAATTGAAAAAAAAAAGGGATAAAACAGTCTCAACTAACAAAGTTACTCATAATACATTAAGTGACACTCGCGCTCACGAGAGCATCACACTGACGCGGTCGCTTTGTTACAGACTATAAAAGCCACCGTCGGCCTCTTATCGCGCGCGAAACCGAACGCAACATGTCCTGGAACTACTACCCGAAGAACTTCAAGGCCAACGGGTGGGGCTGGCACCGCACCGCAAACGCGACGAGCGCCGTGCGCGGCTTTCTGAGCGGCGAGAGGGGCGGCGGCAGCACCGAGCCGCTGATCGGAAACGGGAGCCTGTACCCCACTTTACCCGCGGAGGATGACACGACGTTCCGCGCTGGGGGCCTGTACCCCGCGCTGCCGGCCGAGGAGTACGAGAGCGGCGCCGTGGAGGAAGTGGTCGAGGAGGCCTGCGCGTCGGTTAACGTCAACCTGGTGGTGAGTGCTCTCGCATGCGCTTTGTATTTTTTTTTTAATTTCATCAGCCGTCAAACGAGATCGTACGGAAACTGTCAACAATGTTCCTTATCCGAATACTGTATGATACGCTGTGTGCGTCGTGTGTATTTTCTTTTTAATTTCAACAGCCGTCAAACGGGATCGAACGGAAACTGGCAGGAACGGTTTTTATCCGAGAACTGGCCAGTGCTTGCGTGGTGGTAAATCGACTTATCATCAGGTGTCATCTTAGATCACATTAGATTGAATCTCTATCTGTATATACCATAGATTAGATATACTATTACTACCATTTAGATATACTATTTCTATAGAGATTTCATCTATGATGGTAAACACATCTAGCTCTTTTGAGATTACATATCTATCTTTACAGAGAACTTCTATTATGAGTGTAATCTGGGATGGTAAACGCTCTAGCTCGGTGACGGCCTATCCACACGTGTCTTGAAGAAACTTATTAAACGGACGGGAACTGACCCTGGCAACTTGTTAAACTCCTTTGCTGTACACATTACCATGTATGGCTCTCTCCGTTCGAAAGCTGTGAATGTGAACGTAGTAAATGCAGCTTCTTTAAAAAAAATCTGAAACCTACATTTGAACAGCATCTAACAAAACTAGAAAGTCCCCTCGAGCCGGGTTTATACGTGAATTAATACTACGTACTCTACAACGGGAACTCTTAAATGTGACAAGGAAACTGTCGCAATAAAAACCCCGTCTGTTCTCAGAAAGCTTCTCTTGCTCAAGTGTTGGAACTCTGCCAATGGACGTCCGACCTACAGTATTGGTTATGGAATGTATTACTCTATAACAGTGTGAGTGAACTAAAGACTATAGTTGGTCGGACTTAACCCCCATCGATTGTTTTAAATCGTAGCGTCACGTAAAACGAACATTACGTAGATTAAAATTTGTAGAAAAAGTACGAAAAGATTGTCGCCGCTGTTTAATCGCTATTTAATCTTGTTAATGTTTAATCTTAAGTTCAGAGATTAGCACTATAAAAAAAATTAAATTACGTACATTTTGAGACAAAACCGATATAAAATATATTGATCATTACATATTTTCTATTTGAAGTTCTGAGGTAAATTACATACAACCGAAATGAGAACCTCCCAAAAAGACCAAATAACTGTGCTGAATACTGTCTTAATTTTTGTGTGTGAATTTTTTCCCATTGACATTAGCAACACCCGAACGGTTGCGGATGCGTTGCCACCTTTTAAAAGTGTCCCCCGGCTACCTCACTGAACAGACGAAACGCAAAAGCATTGCAACACTTCCACTTAACGCCGGTCTTCGGTGAGGTCGTGGTGCTTACCCGGACGGAACTGCCCATTCGTGCAACAAAAGTCTTCTTCTGTTGCGGGGCCCAACCACAGTTAATTGAAGCTTATTATTACAAACTGATTTCCAATAACTTGTCTGATGAAGGTTCTATTTTATGTATAACACTAGTTGAAACTACGGTACTACGATTACCGAGACGCACCACCCACGTACTGGGGCTACCGTGGGTTTCTTTATTCGCCAAATATGTTGCTCTCGACAGAAATTTTGGTGGTATCGATGACGTCATTTTAATACACTCAACTTCCTTACTGCAAATTAACCCGCTTTTCCGCACATAACCAAATAAGATTTACTACGTCAGAATGAGTCAATACGTATCAGGTTCACTCGGTTGAGTCACGGAAATTCCTGATTGCGGTATCACAAAATAATCATTGCCTCTGTTTTAATCATATGCTTTGCATTAAGGAATCATAATACATGTTTACAGTCAAGTGACATAGATGGCGCTGACTCAGGCGATCTCGGTTTGTAGCTTCATTATAGTTTGCGACCACCAGACACGATGAAATCCATAAATACGCTTAAGATGCAATCCATATCAGCTAGAGCGTCAGGCCGTGAATGCCGAAGACGTGGGTTCGATTCCCACAGCGGCGACAATCTTTTCGTACTTTTTCTACATGTTTTAATATCCACAGTATTGTTGTTTATTATGAGGTGGCATGTAAGTGCCGGTTCACCTTATGTTAACTGATTACCGCCGAGCGTCCACAACACCTATGTTTAATGTAGGGTTAGGTCCTTTAGAAGAGTAAGCCCCGATTACCTCACTTACCGGACGTGACGCGATAGATTCTGTGAGATTATGCATATGCGTGCAAAAGGCATATTTTTAACTAGCTGTGCCCGCGACTTCGTCCGCGTGGAATTTGAAATAAATAAAATTTCTAAAATATATTAGAATTTCTGAAACAACAGGCAAAAATTTAAAAAAAATTAGCTTTTGTGTATGTACCGTATATAGGTACGTCCATATGCATTTAGTAAAAAAACGGTAATTTTAATATTACAAACAGACTCCAATATTTATTTATCTATATAGATAAGTTATTCTTTTTACCGGAATGGTAACATCATAAATTGATTTTTACAAACGCATCAACTAAAGTACTGAATTTAAGAGGGATTTGAAATGTTGTTTTGTTTCAATCCCAAGAATCTGCCTCTGCTCATCCACATCTAGTAAGCAGACAAACGTGTTATTGTTTATAGAAATATTACATTTTACAAAGAATTGACATTGGCTGAGATCACAATGTTACCAAAAACGTATATTCCCACGCTTAGCACCATTGTTAAATTGCAGAAGGTCAAATTGAATTCCAACAGCGAACTTCGATATACATTTGTTATCTCCACATTTACATTAAATATACATTAAATGTCTTGATATTATAATTAAAATTTATAATTAATACGGTTATTATTTCAGTTTTTAATATGGCTTTTCATATGATAATCAAGTTACATCTGCTGTTACTATACAAAATACTCACTTTTTATATGATACCGAGAGTATAATACTGACAAATGAATCCATGGTGCAACTGTCAAGGTATTGGCTTCGGCGCCGGGGGTCATGGGTTTGATACCCACACGAGATTATTTGTGTTACCCACAGATAATTATTGTGGGTGCTTGTCCACGTGAAATTTAACTGTGGTAGGGCCACGCAACAGTCTTCGCTGTTACACAAATTTGCATGTCCGTCCGGGTAAGTTCCACGACCTCACAGAAGTGTTACACTTCTGCGTTTAAAATGAGTGAGTTATACCTGGGCCCACTTTATTTAAAGGTGGGTGAGGGCATTTGCAACCCCAAGAGTGCTGCAAATCTCCATGGGCGGCGGTTATCTCTTAACACCAGGTGAACCGCCAGCTCGTTTGCCACTTTCTCACATTCCTTACTAAACAGAATAATGTTATCCCACAGTAAGGACTTATAAATAAAAGAAAATAATAGTAAGGTATCCTATCGAGCAGGCAGACAAGAAAACGGGACAATATTGCGTCACAGTTTTACGGTGTGACGGCAAAGGTAGAATTAACTCATATCACGTCTTTGTCTTTTTTGGACGGTGATTTGCATGCACTATAAATACAAAGTCATCATCACAAAGCCCATGTTTCTAAGACTAATAGAAGGTGTATAAGATCAATCTCAACATCAATCCCTTCAACTTCTAAATCTAAGGGCCCGAGTTCGCTTTTCAGTTTTTCCTGTAACACATCTGAGTTCCAATTCGACACATATATCGAATGCAGGGCAAAGACCTCAGCGGTACATTAGCTATAGGACCAAATTCTGTCTCTACAACTTCGATAGACTTCACATATCTTCAAAACGTCTATTTTTTTCTTTGCGCAGATTCCATCGCTGCCGAGAACTGATTCAGCGATTAAAATTGCAATAAATAATTCGCTTCTGAATCAACACAAACAGTTACGGTATTAGGAACAAAAGAGACGTAGCATCAGACGCCAGCATACAAGACCGTGGCATCGTTAAAAGTTCATCAACCCAGAGTTTTTAATATGCGATACACAAAGACCGTAGTCCCTTTTCCCCGAAATACCGACGCGAGTTAACACGAGCAAAGGGCGGCCGTCTTAACGCCACCGCGTATTTTTAAACGGTTTTATTAATAAATTTATTCCCGTCCGCGCCGCCATTTCTGCGCCCCGGTAGAACTCGGTTTCGTGTCGTAAAGAGTAAAACTTTTTGTCCGATTCGATGTTCGTTGGTTCGTTTTTGAAAAAAGAACGCAATGAAAAGTCGTGACGGATTTGTTTTTTTAAGAATAACACTAAAGGAAATACGGTCACTTAATTTTAGACAATTATATATTTACAGCCAAGACCGCCTTACTTTGATAGAACACAGATCATCGCAAAGAACACCATCACCTATCAAGTTTTTATGGCGTGAATAATTAGCAGAAAAGATTGATCTACCATCGGTGTAGGATCTTGTTATCAATAAAATTCAAGGCACAGTTAGCATTTGCTGCGTGGATTCCACCAATACAATATCAAAATCAATATTTTCAAGCTGAGGATAGCCCAGGTTAAAGTGACATCAGAACGTCTAACTTCTTTGTTCATCCCGTGAACATGAACAACTTTTACCGTGAAACGCTAAGGAAATCGTCAGGTTTTAAGAATGCTACGAAATCACCGCTTTAGGCAGTGCCCGAAATTAAGTATGTAGAGAGTATTTATTAAGACGGCCTTTTCAACCTTAAAATGTCTCGTAATTCGGAATATTATCTCTTAATGTCGTAACGCACGCTATCAAAATCTCGTTTCACCTTCAAGCGAGCCTCATAAGGTTCGTTACCTTGGTTGGCATAAGTTATTTTAAGTAATTATAGTTTAAAAGACACCGTATGCTCCTAGTTATCCCATTAAATGGGTGTCAGGGACCTTGTTTATTTAGATTTCCCTTTTATGTGGTGTTTGGATGGATTTGGAGACTATCAGTAAAAATAATAAATTAATCTTAAATAATGTTCCCAATCCCACCACCCAAAGCTCCCAGAGCACCCAAAGTTTTTGTTTTTTTTTTTTAAATCCATCCAATTCTTTTAAATAGTGTAACCTATCGCTTGCCTCGCGTGCACTTTTATCCTCAAAAGGTACACATTAGGTTTCGTGAAGTTATTGTGTAGGCTTCGTTTTGATAATTCAACTTAACTTACGTGGAGCCGGGGTGTATGCCTTAATACACGCTTCCATCTGTTTTATTAACAACAAAAACAATTCAGCATTGTAGTAGGTGTAGTAAGTAGTTAACTTACGAACTCGAAAAGTATGAACGGGTCCTGGGGACTGAGCCCATTTTTCCCAGCTCTTTATTTGGATTGAAATGACAAGTGGCGCACCCTGTTAGCCATATCATTATAAACAATTATACATCATTATCTGGAATAGAATTGTAATTGGGCAAAGTAGGCGCGGATGAAAACTTTCGCAAAGAAATGGAACCGTTGTGAATATTTTTTCTTACAACCAAGGGTAACAAATGAAACTCGAAACCAGGTCGTATCGGAAATAAACTCGTTTCAAAAAGGAACTTGTAAAGGACCCTTGAAAACCTGGTCCAATAACGAGGTTAGCGTAACCGAACGCCTCGAGTCAACTCGCTTGTTTTATGGGTACATTTTTACTTCATATCTCCGCCTCTAATTTTACACACATGTTACTTTGTTTTTACTTGTAGTCTCGAAGCATGTCATCCGAAAATCGATTTAGATAAATAATTAAGAACCTAAGACACGCGTAACTGAATAGAATTACCTCTTCTGTAAAATAACAATGTAATATTATTTTTCATTTATCATGATTGTTTTTGATAAGACGTAACACTTATGACTGTCAAAGGAACAGTTTTTCTCATAGAAACCTACTCTTGAAAACAATTTCAGTGTCTCTGAAGATTCCACAAAAAATCAACGACAGAAAGTTGATCTTGACCCATTAATTTTTTACAAATATGATAGCATTTTTTTGCATACATGAAAATGTTCACTATAATAGTCCAAAGAGTAATAACCACTTCGTTTTAACTAAGGCTAATCGTTTTGACTAAGACACACCGTCCCGTCGGCTTACATCACCCAAGGTCCCAATGTCAGCCATGACAACGCTCTTGATAAGCTCTGCACATGATACAGATTATGGTGATAACAAATGCAGCGTAACCTTATCTCTTATCGGTTATGGTAATGCCGTCAAAATATCGTCTTATCTACGCTAGCCTATCATTGACAAAATTTAACTTTATAAATTTTAAAACGCTATCACCAAATTTTGTATACACCATATATTATGTCGACAATTCAGTTATATTATTCATCATCATCATCATCATCATTTCAGCCTGTTTGAGTCCACTGCTGAACATAGGCCTCCCCCGTAGTCTGCCACGAAGTACGATCCAGAGCCACCTGCATCCATCGACTTCCCGTACATTTGCAGTTATTTTATTATCTTTTAGTATTTAATTGTACGTGCTGTAAATCCATATTCCTTCGATATAATTATGTGTTACTCTAATTTTTCCCTGAACCTGTGGCATATACACATACATGTTATACCAACTTGTATACGGTATATAAAAACATCTACCTACTTCTATTTCTAATCTAACCACAATATGTATGTCAACATTTTCAAGGCCGCAGATAGTGTTGCTAGATTTATTTTTTCAGTAATAATATCTGCGCAAGTACAACATAGTTTCGAGCATTTAAAATATTGAAATCAAATTATCATATTATTAGTCATAATTAATAATATTTCTTCTACTGTCCGAATGAAATCAACGACCATTTAGTGTATTACGTCATGAATTGCGATGGCAAGAATACACGCTATAACGCTACCACGTTTAGTAAGACATCCGGTGCGTTTCGTAGCAAACTGATTTTCTACACTTGTTTTCCATCGCCTAAAGTTTTAGAAAGCTGTCAAGTCATAAGTGTCAATTTTAGTAAATTTTTTGGGTATTGCAGTGTTTTATAAAATTTTATTTGTTTATAAATTTAACTAACTATTTCCGTATTTTATATTTAAACTATTACTTTATTGTGCTGTGTTTTAATGAAGATAAATAAAATGTCAGCAAAGAGTTTTTAGATTGCCGAATTAACAAAATTTTTCAGTGCCTTTGGATGCATGGATGATCTCATCTCATATTAGATCTAATGAGAAAAATATTTGTGGCTATATAAACATGAAGTACGCTTGACAAATAATTTTTATCAAGGAATCTGAAAGGGTCATTGTAAGTCTGACCTAGATACTAGAAAGTGTTACACATAACATTTTTACTGTTCTACCAATTTCACTTAACCGGCAACGCCTTTCTACTACACAAAACGTTATCTTTTTGTTAAAAGTAAAGTAGTGATTATTTTTGTATTAAATTAAATTTTCCCCACATACTTCATTGATAGTAAGTGATATCTGAAATTGTGATAAGTGTTATCTTAACTATACCATACATAATTTGTGAAAAGAATGTAGAAGATAATGACACTTAGGTCAGACTTTATGGTAGTGTCATACATGTGAGATATTGCATATACATCTGTTTTCAGGGTACTAATGACCATCATCATCTTTATTATATAGATTATGGATACAAATCAGTTTATTTTTCTAATATATATTACAAGATGTATTTATGATAATTGTCAATATTTTCATATGGGTATAGTTTATTATGTTTAGTCTATAATTTCAGAATTGCCACTAAAAAACTGTTCATTATTTTTACTACCTATGAGATCAATTAACACACCTACTGCCAACCGTGATATGATGTCATCAAATCTAATAGGCCTTTACTGTGTGTCGCAGACTCAGTACCATGGTTATGTTCAGCGTACTGACATTGTACTTCATTATTACTTGCCATTAATTTTATGAAACATTTAAACAGTTAAATGTTTTAATTGTTCCTTCATTCTGTGTTTATAAATTGAATTTTATGAATGCTGCTTGAATAATGATGCTTATACTAAAAAGTTACTCTTTGGGCATTATAGCATCAGTTCCTTGAGTTTATAATCAAAACTGATTATTTGAAAATTGAATATGATATTGAACTGTTCATTATTGAACAATATTTGATATATAAAAATGATATTTATTTTAAATAATTTATCTTCATTAAGTACAAATATAGCACAATAAAATAGTTTCTATATCAATATCGTAGATTCAAAACTGATTGATGTATGTAAAATGTTATAGTGAAAAATGAGACAGACGTAGTGTAGTGTCATAGTGAATGAGTGGACCTCGCGATGGTGGGTCAAAATGGCGGCGCTGATTTTGGCGCGCTAATACAAGGTGCGGGAAGACAGTTGCTAAATCAGGGCGGGCAAGCGATATTGCAATATGGGGCCCAAGCACTTGGGAATATCATCAATGAGGTGTTCCAGAAGAAAGAGGTCGAACAGAAGAGGTTCCTTCCAAGCATTAAGAACTACAAAGTGGTGGGTATTTGTTTTCTGCAGTAAACTTATAGTTACTTATTTGTTATATCAATGGTTGCTTGAATCTGTTAGTGGTGGTAGAACAGCTTTTCTAAAGCAAAGGCTTCTTTGTGAGTGACATCAGGATATCAGACATCTCCTCTGTCCGGTTGATGACCATGAATGCTGTTACTGATAAACCGCCATAAAATGTGTAATATTCGCTTTACTGAAAGATGATATTATGAATGTTTGTTGTAACATCGAAAGTAAATGAAGTGTTATAATATCCAAGAAGTCACACAGTTTTCTAAAATATACTTATAAGACAGACCTAAATAACCAAGCCCTTACATTAAATCACTATAGAGTGTGAGAAGACAACACAAATTAAATTAAGTTATTCTTTTTATGTATGAATTAAAAACTTAGGATTAAATTTATGTTTTCAAGCTCTTCTGCTGAAACTCTTCAACTTAAGCTAAATAATTAACTAAGCAAATATAAGCTTTCCACTGTTCTGCTTGTGATAGTGTAATTAGATAAAATCGAAATGGAATGTATTTAAATACTTATGACAATCTTGTTCCATTGAAATGTTTACAAAACATCTAGCCAGTAGAAACTGAATAATTATATTGTGTATTCATTTACGCAGCAATATTGAAATCAATAATTGTTACTGAATTAATCCCGGACCTACTAAAAACGCATCATAAAAATTATTCACAAATCAATGATCATCTCCTAAAGCTACTTTTTTATTAATTTGATAGCCTGTATTACTCATATGATGAAAATTAAATATATCTGATGTTTATATACAAATAAAAATTCTAAGTTTTGGTTTCTAAACACTTTTTTTTATAATGTAATTTTTTACTAATGAAAACATCAAATTGTTGGCAAACAAAAAAAAACTAAATTAACTAATGGGAATGTGAATATGAAGTATAAATTAATAAAAAACAAGAAATTCCGTAAAGTGAATATATATATTTAATTATGTATGTATACAATACAGTAAATATTTGCTGTATTCAATTGGCCTCGATTTTATTTGCTTTTGTTGTTGGCATTATTCATTTATAATATGAGAATAGGAATTCAAGTTAATCAAACAAACATGCTGTTAATTAGCGCTAGAGTAGGTATGTTATATCAAATCCAACTGGTGGCTGAGCGTAAATAGAAACAAGTTTATTCACTTTAAAAATATGCGATATAAATAAACAAATTTTGTTTAAACATTTAACAATATTTCTACAATGAATGAACAAAATTTATTTTAAAATTAGCAGATGCAATGGGGGTCAATTATTTTTATTATTCAAATGTTTTAAGTAATTAAATAGTTAATTAAACAATCTATTACTCTTTAACTCATTCAATTCATAATAATAATGTTAATTGTTCAATGCACTGACTTCAAAAACAGTGTAAGGCGTGCACGATTTTAGAACAACGCCCTATATAAATTGTTGCATGCCTATCTCGCGTCAATAAAAATTTCAATAGAAATTTCTTAGTGCTCTGTCTCTCGAAATTATAAAAATAGAATATGTTAAAAATGGATTAATTAAATCTACCTATAATGTTATAAACAGTTAAAAAGTATATATACATATTAAAAAGAAAATTGACCGTAGATAAATCCGAATATCGGTATTAAGTCTTTAAAGTCAATGATGTTATGTTATAGAAACACGATGATATTAAATACAATATTAAAACATCTATGTTTATGATAGACTTATTGTAACAAGTAAAATTGTAAGTAAATTATAAGTTTCTCAATATTTTTTTAATACAAGCAGCAACTTCTTGCCGTCAAGGGAAGTACCAAGCCCTTATAGACGTGGTTTAGTTTTTATATTTTTTCCTTTTACTATTATACTTTAACCGAATTCACTCCTCGTTCCTGGATTCTTTTCAACTATATTCTTTTTTTTTTTTTTTTCGTTTTAGAACAATTTTTTTAGCGCCAATATTTTTTTTTATTAAAAAAAAATATGGGTTCTAAAAAAGGTATTATACCTTAATTGATCAAAGACAGACCCCAGCTATTCGAAAAAATGCTTCATTTCCAAGCTTCATCTTTTGAAGCCAAAGCGCGCTGGAAAGGATCCAATTTCAACGACCACCGCACTAGTTCGCGTTTTGCAATGTTCTTGAACGAATATATTTTACCTTCTAACACTATATTTCAATCGGTCTCAAATCGTGTTTGAGTAAAATGTACAAATGTAAAATTGTCCATACCTCGTTAAAAACCAGTCTACGAACTGCCCATAGATCAAAGTCAACTATTAACTATCTATGTAGGGCTAACGCCAGGTTTATGAAACACTTATTATCGTACAAATTAACTAATCAGCTGTCAAATGGCTTTTCAAATATCATTTGAGTTGCCAAAAGGATGGTTAAACTCTTTGAATTTATAATTCTGATCATTGAGAAGATCATTCTGATCATATCAGATATTTGAAAAGCCATTTGACAGCTGATTAGTTAATTTCTACGATAATCAGTGTTTCAGAAACCGGGAGTAAATCTACTTTATACTGAAATTTAACTGTCACTATGTGATTTCATAATGGAAAGTCATAGATGACCGTTTCATATATTTTTTTGAATCTCTGTTTGAAAGTTTGGTTTGCATTGTCAATGTAAATTATTTATAGTACAATTGTTTTATAAAAGAACTTTACCGTACATTTTCGCTTGAGTTACGATTACACACAAGAGAATACGATTATTTACAATGAATGAATAACACTCCAGTTATTAATTTAATTCCATTGCTAGAACGTTAAAAATTAATAGACTTTTTTTATTTTTTATATAGGTATATTGAAGTTAATTCAATGCGTGTTTTTCTCGAACCTTGCAATTTTTGCATAAAATATTCAAAAGTTTCTTCATTAGGCCAAGTAGGAAAAGGAGAGTCTCATGCATACTAAGACAGGGCCATCACTTAGTGTTACGAATGGACATTTATTTTGTATCACCCATGAACATGGCTTTTGTCGTTTTAAATAATGGATGTACATCTGTTGTACATTCAATACTTTATTTTAAGATTTGGCTTTTAAATTTAATCTGAGGACTATTAAAGCGTCAACGAACGCAAAACTGCATAAACAAATCTACCTATTACATTTAACTTACCTTTTACAGCTTACATTGTAAAGTTAAACTTTTTTTTAAGTGGCAGTCAGCTAGCAAACGAGGTGGCGGTTCACCTGATGTTATGTGATAACCACCGCCCATGGATATTTTCAACACCCGTAGGGTTGCAGAAGCGTTGCCACCTTTAAATAAAGTTGGCCCAGGCTACCTCACTCACCAGACGAAACGCAGAATTGTAACACTTCTACTTTACGTCGGTCTTCTGTGTGGTCGCGGGACTCACCCGGACGGACCTGCCCATTCGTGCAACAGTTAACACCATCGCGTAGCCCTACCACAAACTCAAGCAAATTAGGTATTCGTTTGTTTCCTCTTTATGAATATCAATAAATGATTTGCCGGTCAATATTCGGCGCAGAAAGGAATCCTCATGCATCGCCCACGTAGTTTATTGACCAGCAACGACCGGCGTGGGTACTTAGAAATTGGCGGGGAGTAAATTTAGATACGGCCACTGATGTTGCAGTCAAAAATGTATGTAATAAGAAGCGTGCGCAACCACAAAGGGCATCGCTATAATAAAAAAACGGCACTCAAATAAATATCACAGAAGAAATTCGAAGATATCGTGTATAATAACTATCTGACGTTTGCATCTAATTTAGATAGAATGAAAATTGTACATAAATTTGCGAGCTATATTAATCCAAGCGCGAAATAAACAAATATAAAAAATAAAAAAAATACCAAAGCCTACACCTCAACCCTTTCTCACTGGTCATTGTATCCTGTGTAACGTGGTTGCCTGGAAGAAATCGCTTCCAAGCGCGTAGGAAGCTAATTGCAGCTTTATGTATTTTTTTTTTACTTTTTTTATTAGTTGTCTAGTGTGATGTAATAAATCATATTTCATTCATTTATCTATTTATTAGTATCGAAAGTTCACTTTGGTTCATATTTCGATAGTTAAAATAATTTTTCAAGTCACAATACTCGTATCCCATACGACATCCCCGAAAATGAACGTTTAAGTAATATCATTTTCATTATTTCGGCCAAAAATTAGAAGAAACTCGCGAATTAAGGCAAATTCCTACTTCGCTAATTGCCTTTTATTGGGTGGAAAATTACCGAGGAAACATCGATTTGTCCTCTTTCTTCAGTGCGAAAATAAATTGTACCTTTTAAAAGATGAACAGACTTTACCTAATTCATATGTAAAATAATTAATAACAAGAAATTTAATTAAACGACACGTGGACAAGATGAAATCCTATTAAATGGAAGAATATTCACAATTTGGTAGTGAATGGAACTTTTAGAATAAATAATCTCTATCCATGAGTACAATTCTGTCTATATTACTCCTTTATTATTCGATTTAAGATATTTAAACACGTTTTTTAAGATAAACCCCCATTGCTTCGTCGATACAAATTTCAACGTGAACATGTCCATTGTATATGCCAGCTTTTAACACGGCTTCGTACGCGATTCCATTGTTATTTTAACCGCTGCCCCGTTCATTGACTCTGCTCCAACACGTATGGGTGCGGTCCCCGCATTCACTATTGAAGGTCTATAATTTACTATGATAGTGTAATAGAATATATAATGTAGAAGAATCTTTCCGAAAACAAATCGCTTCTTTAATTTGAAACAATCGCAGCTTCTTGATAAACGCTCGCCTTATTCATAAACGCTCGCAATGAGAAAGAACCAAATACCATCAGCACCATGACTTAACCTCAAAACGTCGTAAGATTATTTGTGAACTTTGCGTCATTGTGATGACGTCACTTAAACGTCACAACTATGTACAACGGTGGACAATGGTTGAGCATCGATCCTCTTACAACTCAGACATTGTATTCGATACGCCAAGGTTGAGAATGTTACGTAGCAATGTA